TAGTTTTATATTATATTTATTATTATTATTAATATTATTATTATTACTATCCCATAATGACTAGGTAATGTTAATATTTTGCATATTTGTCTCGTCTATTTTCTTATTCAAACTGTAAGGAATTAAAAAAAAAAAAATGGTAAATAATAGGTGATAGCCGTGATACACTGCGCTCGTATCATACTTACAATCAAATGATTTTTCGATAGTATAATTGAATTAACAAAATACATTTTTAGGTATCGTCTAAGAGAACGGATATGAATACATAAACTAAGTTTTGGGGTTTTTTTCGGTAAGCCCATAATAAATCGTCAAGACATTCTGCTTACACACTGCGGGGTTCTCATAGACAAAAAGTTTCACGCACTAAATATTAATACTACGTTGAATGAATAAATCATTCTTCGAGGTAGAATTTCTGGATATTCAAATACGTGAAGTGTCAGCTCCGAAAAAGTTTTATACATCACGAATAAAATGTATGAAAATGCAATGCAGAATCAAACGACTTAAATTTGTTTCGTTAAAGTAGCACTTTTTAAACGATTAATTTATAATCATTTGTTAGAGAAAAATCTACGAAATACTTCATTGACTACTTGAAACTATTTTCTTACATAAATTATTCTATTAATCTATTTATATTTTTATTTACAAGGTCTATACGAGTTAAAGTTACAAAAACTTACCTACATATTATTATTATTTTACAATATATTATATTATGGATATTTTACAAAATATAAAAATATAATCAATGAATAAATTATTGCTTTAATACAATTATTATATTCTGTTATTATATCCAACTCTGATTTATATTGAGATTTTTCTTCACACTTCATATGGATCTTTATCTTTACTTACGAAATGTATTCGATTGATTCGACAAATTTACTTATTGTACTATCTAACAATTATTTTCACATACCTACCTACGACTTTTAAAAATAGTTACCTATTTTATTATACCTGTCAATAATTGTAAATCCTTCTCAACGTCTAAAACAAAATTGAAATAAAGGTATTTTACACTAATCCATTCTTAATAATAATTACTTATCATTAAAAGTATACATTTTTTCCGTATAACAATAAGTAAACAACTAATTAAAAACAAAGTTTAATCAACGTTATTTAGCGAGTTGCTTTTTTCTTGAAATTGTGAAAATGTTATTATAATATATAATATTAAAATATACATTCATTGTTCTTAGATTGCACCACTTTGCCTTTTGTGTGTATTGTATAAACTAAAAACAAAAAGAATTCAATCTCAATGTTAAATTTGAGGACTATTCACATAATTGTTTATACATTGAAAATTGTTTATTCACAATGAAAAATAATAAATATGGATGATTAAAATATAAAACAAAAGCGACTATAGTACCTACTTCGCTGATTATTGTTAAGGATATAAAATATCTGAATATTATAATGATACAGATAAACAGCTGATTCTGTCTTTAACCGTGTCACTAAGGATAATACTTTAGGTCAGACCTGTATATGCCAATGGATGTCAAAATTATTTTTTTAGTGGACGGTATTCAACTTTGAGTTGTCATTATAATATTTCAATTTTGATAAACTATTAATTTACAAAATACAATATTTTCAGTTGATGTATTTGTATGGTTTTTTTCGTACAGTTTAAACAAATCAAACGATTTAATAACATAATATTACTTTAACGACAAATTTACCATTTTCAGTGATCTTCACGAATTCACTGAGCATTAATTTAGCCATATTAAAAATCCATATTATGAAAAATAAACTTCGTATATAATAAAATGTCGAATCAAATCTTCTCCGTTCCCCTTGGAAATAAAAAAATGAAAAATGTGTGATATCGATCGACTGGTATTAAAATTCGTAAAAAGGACGTAGGTGATTGGTCTGTGTGTTCGATTTCAATTGTTAATGATAACGTACGGACTTCTGTTAGCGGCACTGTATAATATTATATATGATCGGATCATGTTCTGTTTGAACAATCTACATAAATAATTAATGATACTTTTATATAATAATATACTGTGCATATTATAAGGTTTAGCGTATGCAATACGAAGCGTTTCGTGTGCACTATAGAGTTTGACGAAGAGCTTAGAGCAGGCACTGAGTGGTGAATCGATTCTCGACGGGTAAGATACATGGCTGAACGTTGATTAACATGAATATAAATAAAAATAAAAATCCATAATATTATAATAGTCACGTGACGATAATATGAACCCGTAAAAAAATATTTTAACGTATACCTATGCAATATAATATATTATGCTGAAACAGATACACGTCAACGACAAGTATTATTATCGGGGATAGTAAGTCCATGCATTTGCATATCAATCTTGTCAAGTTGTGTTAAATGCCATCAGGTAATATAGACATTTTCTTCAAGGTGACAGAATTCAATATAAGAAATTTAATTTTTCATATAGCATTGTAATTGAATATTTATAGGTTTTTGGCTTATTTATAATCGTGTATTTTTTTACAAAAAGGAACATTTAATATTTTTAAATTTAAATTATTTAAACTTATCGTAAATAGTTTTTAGATATAGGAATAAATATTTCTATGCCTATCAAAAACAAAATATGTTTGAAAACATTAAAATTACTAACATTTAAAATATATAATCAATACGCTGACGGTTAAATTATTAAAAATAATATTCGTAAAAGACTTAATAATCTAATGTGATAAGAGAAATTATTTGTTTTAAAATATGTTATGTAAATCAGAAAGTTCAAAACATATTGTATTATCTAGTAGGCAAATGTAGGTAAAATTCTTATAACTAGTTAGGATAAAATAAATTTTTTGTTATACTTGATTAATATTATGATAAATAAATCTGTGATATAAAATATGTGTTATTAATAATATAATAATACTTAAAATTATCTAATATGAAAGAATTTATTAGTTTTTAGAGTACCTATAATATATGATGTATGTTATACAAATTCGTTGAACATTTTTGGCGGAGGTTAGTACAGATAACCACCTTTTCCCAGACTTTTCCTGGAAAATTCGTAAACTTAAAATTATTTTTTTAGTAGTTTTGACTTTAGGTAGTTAATAAGAAACAGTTTTTACAAAAAAAACTTTAAAATGTTATGGTATCAATAACTGCCCCTGAAGGGTTTTATTTCATGAGTAGTGCCTGCCCCTCAAAGAGTTAAGTCTAATAAAAACGATTATAAACGAACGAATGAACAATAAAATGTAAGTTTGAAATGCAAAATATTAAGATGCGATTAAACGTCGTTTATAAATTTAAAAAAGGTACTCTGCTGTACAGTAGGTTACAAGTGGGTCACTGTATAATGGATGGTATTTAATTTGAATTCAATTATATACCTAATATTATTGCATAAGAAAAACTATTCTGAGCGGAGACGGTATGTCAGTCTAACTTCTTACATGGAATTTTGTTTTAAATTTTCAATCCTTAGATATAAAAGTTAAACATTCAATTTTAAATTTGATAAATTTTGTCAAAATTCGATCTTTAAATGCTTATAAAAAAAAATTGTGGCTATGAATTTTTAATATTTTTCAACTGCTATTGTAACAATATATCAGGAGCCTTCTGTTAAATTTTTACACTTTTTGGCCCAACAGATAAAACTTTATTGATATTCACAGAAAAAAAAAAAAAAAAATTGAAATATGAAATATGAAATTGTCCGTAAACAGCTCAAAACAAGTCAAAATATTTTGAAAATGTTATCATGTATAAGAATTATTAAACATTCAGTGTAATTTTCATGTATCTACAGTTATTCGTTTTTGAATTACAACAAAATAAGAAAATCGCTACATGAAAAATCGTGTGAATATCAATGTTGTAAAAATTTGAATTCCAAACTCTCATAAAAATTAAATTTGACTTTCTTATAGACATTTTTTTTTTTTTTTTGATAAAGGTAGATAAACTTATAAGGAATCTTGTATTAAATTTTAAAATCTTAGATATAAAAAGAAAAATTTTTATGAATTCTTAACTCAAAATAATTTTCTAATTTTCGTGATTTTTAAATATTCTGTCAAGATTTGAACTTTAAATGCTTATAAAAAAAATGTGACTAAGGATTTTCAATATTTTTCAAATGTCAATGTAACAATATAGTAGGATCCTTGTATTAAATTTTCAAGTATTTTTACTCAACACATAAATTTTTATTGATATTCATAAAAAAAAAAACTAATAAAATTGAAACTGAAAATGTCCCTAAATAAATAAATCAAAATATTTTGAAAATGTTATTGTTTATAGAAAATGCAAATATAAACATCCACTGAAAATTGCATGCATCTACGGTCTTTTTTTTTAATGCCACACCAAAAACCAAATTCAATTTTGTTAAAAATCGATTATGCTTAAAAATTCCCGTTTTCCTTAATTTTTCTTTTGTTCTTCTTGGCGCTTTTGAAAATTACTGGAAATTTTAAATTTTTACCTCCGCAATGCACCAACAATAATTACTTATTCCGATCGAACAAGATACTGAAGTTGTAAATCGAAGCATTATTTCGACTACTTATCGTGACACAGACACAAAAAAAAGTAAATAAAAAATAAAAAAAAAACACACATCATTGTAAAATCAATACATTCATCGTTCCACTCAGAATCTAAAATTAATTTCTATATTATTTATGAGTAGTTTTTATTGTATGATTAAAAGGTTTTTACTGCATATTATATTTTAGTGCATATTTGAGTTTTAGGAGCAGCCACATACGTCATATTCAAGCCTTTTTTAGTACATGCATTTACGACCCATGATTATTAGTTATTACTATCTATTATAGTCTTTATTTAATTAAAAATATTTATAAATTATACCTACCTAATATATATATTGAAATAGGTTATCTACCTATGTACTGTTTCTTTACATCCATCAACATATTGTGACATTATTTTTGTGATGTGTGTATTATTATTAATACCAATTTGAGAACTACCAATGGACATGGGACTGGTCGACTTGGAGTCTGCCTACTGTGGAGCGAACGTCATCATCGCAAAACCGATTGCGGAAAACATGAGAGAAGACGTGGTAGAACCTGTTGATAGCCTTGACCGGCGGATTGGAGACGATAAGACGTCGTCCGACGTACAAAAGGACATCAAACCCAACCTAAAGGGTGACAGGCTCAATGTGGCCTTGCTTGTACTGCTATACTCGTTGCAAGGGATACCTATAGGAATTTCTTTGGCAATTAGGACGTACATGCAGAACAAGAAGGTCTCATACGGTCAACAGGTATACGTTTAATTTTATTTAATTTTAATTTTAATTAGGTGTATTAAATGCCATACAGCTTTTTGGAGAGAATATCATACAAAAAATAACATGCCGATTATATTTTATCACTTAACTAATGGGAAAACTCAAAGCTGGGCACTAACCAGTTGAATTTAATGTGTAAAATAGTCTAATCTAACTCGTTAGAAAAAAAACTAACTAGTTATTATAATTTTTTTTCTCATTCCAAAATAGGATCTAATTTTAATTAATATTTTAAGTTGTCATACTGTTATATATTTTTTTTCGCCCTTTATGTTCTAATAACTGATAAGTGATATACCAATTAATTTTAATTATAACTTACCTAATTAGAACATTTTGATCAAATTACTAGGTGCTTAATTAAATTTTTCAGTTTTAATCAATAATTTAAGTTAGATAACTTATTATTTACATTTCAACAAAAAGGTTTTTTAATCTATAAAAAAACTAACTTCTAAATTCTACTCTAACTTAAGTTACTATTTTCACCAAACTAACTTCTAACTGAGTTAGAAATTTGGACAGTTTCAGAAACTAACTTATATTCTAACTTAGTTAGTTTTTTTTATTAAAGTAACTTAACTTCAACTAGTTGAAAAAAAAGACTAATTTGCCCAGTTTTGGGAAAACCCAATAAGACCTATAGAGTATAGAGTCAGAATTTCGGACTTTTACCTACCTATTTTTCAGACTGCCGAAAATATTTCTGTTTAAAAATTGTAATCCTTTTAAGTCTTACACGGCGACTACAACAGCCGACTTTAGTTATATATACCAGGAGAACTATTACGAATATAATAATATAGTCGCTAAAAATAAAACCATCATTCGATATCACGATATAAATTCAAATTATCTCCGATACAGGCAAAGTTCAGTGTGGTCGACTTACCGTACAGTTTGAAGCTATTGTGGGCTCCGTTGGTGGACGTCGTGTACTCGAGGCGTATGGGCAAACGGAAGTCGTGGCTGGTTCCGGTGCAGTTTTGTATAGGTACCTACGTTGAAATTACCTTACACAGCTGCAATACGCAGTACCTCGAGAGTTGAAGTTTCTGAATAATAATTGTCTAACAGATGCGAATCTTGTGCGCAGGACTGTCGCTGATATTCATAGGGTCGAACATAAACTACTGGTTGATGGAAAACGATACACATATGACCACGTTGACGTACGTGTTCTTTTGGGTAAACGCTTTGGCCGCAACTAACGACATCGCCATCGATGGATGGACGCTCACTTTACTGAGAAGGTATATCATACGCGTGTGATATATTATTATAAACAATAATGTATATTTTTATAATCACTGAAATACCCACCAAACACGCTTACCCGTTTGTATGCCTGTTTGTATCAATGGATGAGTAACCATAGGTTCAATTTGGGGGGGGGGGGTCTACGGAGGCTTAGCCCCTCCTAGTTTTATTTAAGCCCCCCTGAGTTTTTAAATATATTCATTCTTAAACCCACCCAATAAAAAAATTATGCTGGTCTGTATTGATTTTATAAATTTAGCCCCCCCAAATCAGTTGTGCAAATTGCGCCTATGCGAGTATAGCCATTCGTGGATATAGACAACTACGGAAGATCACCACCAGCTAGCTTTACCCCTCACCGTTGTAATATTGTATGGGCATTTTTTTTTTGATGAACTATACATATAAACCTCCCCGCTGACTATAATAAGTGATTTGAACCGAATAATATTAAACAGTTTTTGGTTTGAATATTGTATTGTTTATTACGTTTTCTGAGCTTGCAGAGAGAACATAGGATACGCATCAACGTGCAATACGTCCGGTCAAGCATTGGGAATAGCGTTCGGGTACGTAATGTTCATATTGTTTGAGTCCGAGGAATTCTGCAACAAGTGGCTACGTTTTACAGCCCAAAAAGGAGGCATAATTTCTATGGAAGGTAACCCGTTCTTAAGTGATACGTTTATTACCCTATAAGTTAAATTCAATTATATATGAAAATCGTATTGTCGTATATATTATAATATATTATTATACTAATTATCATTTATGGCACGTATATGCCGATCTTATAGGTTAGAAACAATATAATAACTGATGGTTTTTAGAATGGAAAAACTTATTTATTCTATATACTCAAGATCTCGTCCCCTATTGTCTTATAGGTGATTTTGAGCTCATTGTATAGCCACATAGACGCAATTTGGGGTGTATAGGGGGGGGGGCTTGAATTTATAAATTTAGCCCCCCCCCCCAAATCAGTTGTCCAAATTGCGCCTATGTATAGCCACCGAGTTGCATATTTAGAAATTGCCTAAATGTTCGCCATTTATTAATAAAGCAGACAGTAAAAGTTTGGCCAACATTTTACCCAAAATCCAACACGTTTGGGTTCAAATAGACACAACGTTTCATCAGTGGACACGTAGAATAAAATATATTTTGGTACTTATTACATAACCATTATTTTACCTATAGAAAATCAGAGAACGTTTAGGTTCAATAAAATGAACGATAACATATTATATTATACGTACACACGTACTGTTTTTGGCTAACTTTCACAAAATAGCTAGACAAAAGTAAAGATTTTGGATTTTTATACATTAATTAATATAATACATAATGACCAACATATTTTTAAATTATGTTAAGTAGCAAAAAAGTTTTTGGGAAATAATTAACTGTTAAGAGCCAACCCCTTCGGGGTGTCTCCAGGGTAGGTAACGCTAATATAGGTTCCATATAAATTAAAATAGTAGAAAAAAAGTTTAAAAACTTTTACCCTGGAGTGATGTTTTTTAAAAAATATAATGTACCCAAACGTTGTATTCATTGTGGGTGTCTGAAAAAAATGTAAATCTTTAACCTAGACTTGTGAACCCACACTAACCAGAAACCGATCGTTCTCCCAATTCCCAGGTGAAAAATATTGTTATGTAGTAGGTATGTACCCAAAAGTGTTACGGCCAAATGTCAATAAAGCCACTGCACAATTAATTGCTTACAGGATATTTATACTTCTGGGGAATAATATTCACCGTGGCCTCCACGTGTATCGCGTTTTTCGTTCAGGACAGATTCAGTCAAGCCGATAAAATCAGCAAAATCAATATTAAACAAATTTATAAAGTGCTATGGAAGATCATAAACCTTCGGACGATGAGAATATTTACTCTAATTATGCTAGCGTATGAAGTAATATATTATTATTATTATCTTTTTTTAATAGAATGAAAATATACATAAATAACATTCTACAGTATAATTCGGTTACTGTTATTTTGTATTTTCGTATATTTAAGCTACCACTGCTTTGTTGTTGACCAATTTGTTTTTCATGGTTGAAATATTATAATTTTAGATGTCATTTTCGTCCATGGGATCGTTCGTTTCTAACCCAAAATTTATGGAATACGGAGTGGCTAAAGAAGACATGGCTCTAGTTGACCTATCATTGATTCCGATAAAGATTTTTATTCCTATCCTTATTTCTAAATTTACATCTGGGCCGAGACCGTTGAAAATACTTTACAAGACGGTGCCATACCGGTAATTTTTAAATAATAGTTCTTAGATAATAGGTTATCTATACACTAAATAACTGTAAGGTTTTTAAGTTTATTTTATTTACGTGTGAATAAAAAAAATATATTTTGTATTGTGACATTTTAAAACACTAGTAAGTTAATACTATTTACTTTTTACCTTATCTAAACTTTCAAGTTAAAAGTTTAAATTTTAGTAAATGTAATTTAAATACTCGTATTCTAAATTAATGCAATTTGAAATAATTTCCACTGGCCAGACCTTCAGGATGATTCACCAAGCGGCAAGCATGCTTAGGTACCTGTTTTTTCATCTTGAATAATGCAGTTATTCAAAACCTGATTTTTGGAATTTTTATATATATTCAGACTATATTTTCAAATTCTTGGGATTTTTTTGTACTACACTTATATGGAGTGTCCTGTGATATTACCAACTACTGTTTTTAAATTGACTGTCCCATTTTATACAGTAAATTATTTAGGGGATACATTTTCTGAAAAGGTTGTCGTACCAAAATCAAAATTCGAACGAGTATTTTTTGAATCAAAATATTAAATTGAATAAAAATATTCATTATTAAATGAAAAAATCGGGGCGAGTAATACTGAGTATGCTTGATGAATCTTCCATTAAATACAGATATGCCTATTTAATATTTTAAATGAGTTATTATAAATTTGCCACTTACAAGAAAAATATTTCTATTAGACTTATAGGATGTTTATAATTATGACTGAAAAAAATCTAAAAAAAATTCATAGAAAAAGTATACTAGTAAGTAGCAAGTGTTAAATAACTTCGTCTTTTGCAACAAAAAAAACATTATATAGTAGCCAGTAGGTACTCAAATTAGTAAACAAATTTAAAAATGATATGTTAAAAAACAGATAAATGCATTTAACTAAAAATTCAAAAAATAAAATGTAATGTAACTATTCTTCTATGCATACCAAAAGGCAAACACATTATAATTTAGTCTATAATGTGCGTGGCTAAAAAACCACCCAAACCATACGAATGATATTATATGAATAATATAGGTCTATCATCTATCTATGTGAAAAATTTAACAGTAAAACCTTCACAGCTAAAATATTGTAGGTTTCTATAAGCGACCTAAGTCGTCCTGTATATAAGTATATCTACGAATCTGTAGTATTTCTGTACCTCCGTTTTATCATATTATTAGTAGGTATTAATAATATAATATTATATTATATTACCATACTAAGTATATATATAGATACACATACCTATTATTGTGAGTTTTGATTTTTTGTAGGCTGATTTTGGGAATTTCTTCCGGAGTCCTCGTATACTATACTCCATATTTCATAGGTGGCGAATACCATAATTGGTCAGTTTACTTTTTCCTGATGTACGAACTCCATCGTATTTTGAGACTGGTAATTAATAATATTATGTATTATCAATAGGTTATAATCTGTTAATTTCGTTGGCGTCCACAGGTGCTGTTGGTCGTCGTTTACCTGAGCGTGAGGTCGTTCTTCTTACGAATCAGCGACCGACGGATCGGTGGTACGTACATGTCACTGTTAAATACTATATGGTATTTAGGGATAGCTGTATCCCGGATCGCAGCTCTAGGGATGCTCAACTTGCTGACGGTCAAACAGTGTTCGACAGACCGAGCGACCGAGTGTCGTTTCAAGACGGTGAATGATGAAGTAAATAAAAAATTAATGCTAAATCTCTAACTATATATCAAAAAAAAAAAAAATTATTGATACAAATAATGTATTTACGTATAAAATAAATGATAAGTATGTGCTAAATACAGGGGCGTCATTTGGGGGGGGCAGGAGTATGCATTTGCCCGACCCTAGATTTTAAAATAGCCAAATGGGCCGGTGGCCGGGTCTAAGCGGGCCGGGTGGCGGGTTTTCTATAATAATCATTAATCAATAAAATCTTAAATCTACTGACTATTCTAGAATATACTACATAATATAAAAATAGAAATTTGTGGTATATCATAAATCATAATAATATATTAATTAATATTTAATACGTTATTATTATTATTATTATTCTATTCTATATTTCTATGGAACTATATTCGTTATCTCAACGATAAAGTAAGTTTAAAAACCACGATTAAAGATCAGCTATCGACGTCGTGGACCGTGGTAACCAGTATAATGTAATGTAACTATGACCACAGAACAATGTGACCGAGCTATGACTGATAAGAGCATAGTACTGTAAATGTTCGTTATCAATAACAATTTTTAAAATCACCAACGAATGTTGAAATTTTCATTTTGAAATTTGAATTTGATTTGATTTAGTGTCTACTGTGTACTATGTTTGACGTTTGACTAAAAATTAATTTTTAAGTACCTTTATTATGTCTCATAATAAGCCTAAAGGCGGAGCTGAGAAGCGACGTCTCAAGAGAAATTCTGAGTTAATAATTGCTGGTAATGATAGTAAACAAAAGAAATTATCTTTTTTTAATATAACGACTCAACAGTCAAAAGTCTCAAAAGTTGAATCAAAAGTATGTACAATTTATTGTTATTTAATTTATTATCTTATTAAACTTGTTTCTTATAAAATATTTTGGTTTAATCATTTGAAAGTTGAATGGAAATAGCTATTAAATATAATTATTTGTTAAATTAATTTCTAATAAAATATAATCAGTAATTTAATTTTGTGTATCCAGGATAAACCTGAACAAGATTACTCAGTTGAAGAAATTGTGAACACAGAATTAAATTCCAACAAAATTCTAACAACTGTAGATGCAAAAGTTTTGTTAAAAGATAATAATATAGTAATGGAAATAGCTATTAAATATAATTATTTGTTAAATTAATTTCTAATAAAATATAATCAGTAATTTAATTTTGTGTATCCAGGATAAACCTGAACAAGATTACTCAGTTGAAGAAATTGTGAACACAGAATTAAATTCCAACAAAATTCTAACAACTGTAGATGCAAAAGTTTTGTTAAAAGATAATAATATAGTACAAAACCATCCACAAGACCTTTCTTCATCGAAAAATGACCATCCAGCTCAACCCAAATTAACGATGTATCCAACTACTAATGGTCGTCGTTTTAGTATAAAATATTATCAATTATATGAATGGTTGGAATATTCAATTTCCTTAGATGCGCTTTATTGTTTTGTTTGCCGACATTTTGCTGCCAGTATTACTGCACCAGGTGAAGTTTTTGGAAAATTAAGTTTTGTTGATTATGGTGCTACCTGTAATAAATGGAAAGATTTTAAAGGAACTCTAAATAAACATGAGAGAAATAAAAGGCACATCATTTCCATGCAACGTTGGATTGATTATAGATTAGTTCAAAATAAAAATGAATTATCTGTATCAAACCAAATAATACATGTTCGACAAAATAATATTAATGAGAATCGTCAACATATATTATTTTTACTCAAAGTAGCATTATATTTAGCTAAACAAGGGTTACCATTTCGGGGAAATAATGAATCAAGAAATTCCAAAAATAGGGGAAATTTTTTAGAACTTTTGGATGTGTTTTGTGATGCAAGTATGAAAGAAAGACTTGCATCAAGGTATGGCCACTACACAAGTCCAGAATATCAAAATGACTTAATTTCATCTATAGCTAAATGTACTAGACAAAAAATTTTAAATAAAATTAATCCACTAGGTCTTTTTACAATCATGGTAGATGAAACCAAGGACAAATCTAAAAAAGAACAAATGGTCATTGTCTTACGGTTTTTGGATAGTGATATGAATATTCACGAGAAATCTATTGGTTGCTTTCATATGTTGATTTCTAATGCTGATAGTTTGTCAAAAAAAATTATTGATACAGTTTTGGATAATAAATTAGATTTACAAAATTGTGTGGCTCAATGTTATGATGGTGCTAACGTTATGAGTGGTATCCACTCAGGTGTTCAAGAACGAATACTTAATGTTGTACCACACGCCATTTATATCCACTGTTATGCACATAGGCTAAATTTGTGTTTAGTTCATACATTACAAAACATTCCTTATATAGTCAATTTTTTCAACACTTTGCAAGATCTCTATAAATTTTTTATGAATGGACAAACTCGGTATGAGTTATTTGTTAAAGCACAACAGGCAAAAGGATTACCCGTATTACACCTAGAAAGATTAGTTGAAACTAGATGGGCTTACTGGTTTGGATCAATTAGTAAAATAAATTTGCGGTATACAGAAATTATTGAAGTACTTACTATACTTAGCGAAAATGATGACCAAAAGGCAAGAGCTCTAGGAATTTTAAAAGAAATGAATACACTGTCATTTATTAAAATATCACATGCTATGGAATCACTTCTTAGAGCCATCCACTGTGCATCAAAGGCTCTCCAAGACTGTTCTATTATTTTACCAGTCGCCATTGATTTAATTAAATCTACAAAACGACAGCTTTATAATATGCGCAATGATGAATTTTGGGATGATGTTACAAAAAAAGCAAAAACTATTGCTGTTAAAAATGGTATGAACATAAATAAAAAAAAGAATCCAAGAAAGACATGTTTGAATAAGAATCTATTAGAATTTTATGTTGAAACTACGGTTGGTCAAAGTAATAAGAACAAAACTTCAGAGTTGAGTAAAGACTTGAAAATCATTTTTTTTTCAGCAGTTGACAGGTATGTACCTACAACTAAAATAATCTAAAACTTTAAGTATTGAATTTGTTTATATACCTATGTATATTTTTCTTTTTGTAGATTTGTTAATGAATTAGATAAACGCTTCAATGATACAAATAACAGCATTATTTTAACTAGCAGCATTTTCCTTTCCTCCAGCCCTGAATATTTTAATTTTAAATGTCCATTCCTTGATGATTTTTTACAAAATTACAAGCACTTTAATATTAACACTATCAAACTAAAAGCTGAATTTCTGAGTGCTAAAGAATTACTTTCGGGTGATTCAAATACCAAACATGATCTATATTCCATTTCAAAAATATTACTCCAATTACCTCAATGTTACTCTGAAACATTAAAAATAATAACCATTCTTATGACCTTACCAGTTTCCACCGCTTCTAATGAACGCTTTTTTTCATCACTTAAGCAAATTAAATCATATTTAAGATTAACTATGGGTGATGATCGTCTCAATGATTTATTGGTTGTTGCTGTTGAAAGTGATGAGGCCTCAACAATTAATTTAGATGAAGCACTTCACGTTTTTGCAAATATGAAGAATCGTCGCTACCCACTTATAAGCTAGCTAAGCAATGCACAACTATAATGCTTTTAAATTGTAATAATAATAAAGAACAAAAATATATTTTAGTCTTTAATTCCTTTTTTTTATTATTTGCTTATGCTTATTGCTTTTTAAATTTAAGTATTATAATTTTTTTTATGTTATAATTCAAATAAGGTATACTTAGTGAAACAGTGCCACAGTTGTGGTACTTTAATGCATATTTTATAGGGAAACTATTATTAATATTATACAAATATTATTAATTATTTGGTTTTCAGAGTAAACTACCTACATTGAAGATTATAATAATATGTTGATGTGAGTTAAGATTAGGTATTTCTGTTTTAATAAGTAGTATGTTAACAAAAGCGGCTACAGTTTGTGTTATATAAATTATAAAGTATAAAAATAATAATTGAAATAAAAATTGGACTAACTAGGCAATATACATATTATTTTAACTAAATAGTAAATAATCAAAGGGCCGGTAAAAATTTTGCCCCACCCTAAGAAAAACTGAAATGACGCCCCTGGCTAAATAGGTACTAGATAAGCAAATAGGTCGACACCTAGTCGACAACGACAAAGCTAATGTAAAATATTTTTAATTGGTTTTTTTTTAAATAAAATCCTTAAGTATTACATTTTTTCAGTTTTTCTGACTTCTGAGAATCCGTATTAAATTACGTACATCACAGTTTTTTTTTAATTTAAGAAACATACGCTTTTTCCAAACTTGGAAAAATATGCAAAATTATGCATTATGAAATTCCATTTTTAAAGTTTTTCATTTATCATCATGACATAATAATATACGTATATATAAAACACATTTAGAACTTGGGCTCTGCTATAAATCGGAATCCTATGATTATTGGAGTTACAGAAATTATTATTAAAAAAAAAAAATCATGTTGATCCGAAGTCAACATTTTCAGTTCTGAGTGCAAGGACGACAACCTCGAAATCAATTAATTCAATATAATGTGATGTAAAAAGATAACCTGTATCTGGTATTAATACATACACGAAATAAACTAATAACTAACAACTAATGGTTTTGTTTTCTCAGTAAAACAGAAAATGCACTTCAAATTTTACCCCTCGGAGAATTAACGCACTAATAATGTAGTTAAACTATATTAATTTATGAATTTCAGTTGCAGGCTCAACTTAAGATTTAAGGGGTAGACAAAATATAACGATCACCTACTGTGACATTTGCAATAATATTGTGGTTTAGCGGGGTTTATAGGTAATTACAAATAAAAAGAAAGCGTGTTGTTACAGTAGGTACATGTACCGTGTGGTCGTACGGATGCGTTTCTTTCTCTCCGAGAGGTCAAACCATAACTTTGGCGTCGATCACGTACTCACGTCGCTGTACGGTGTGGGGGGGGGGGGGGTAGTTAGCAGTAGCCGAAGCCCGAAGCCCCGAATCGCTAAGTCCCAAGATATTTCAAATTCAAAATATTCGACTACCCAACCAAAAAAGTCCACGATATCAAACCAACAAATTTGGCATCGGGACCGATCCCGTCGCTCTACGCGACGAGTGAATGTAGACATTTTAAGGGTTGGGGTCAAAAGTTGTAGCTAATTGAAATTTATAGTTTTGTCATATACATCCGGGTATTCTTACTTCGTCGTCGTTTTCAGCACGTTTAACTAAACATACTTTAAAACAACGACAAAAAATAGGTGTCCGGTAAGACAGAAATATACCAAAATTCAAGTGCATTGATGGACTTGATTGTTGTTGCTTGTGCAACATATAATGCTGATTGTATTGAATTCACGTACTATATACCTATTGCGTAACCTGAAATATTATATTTTCGCAGGATTGCGAGAAGTTTGCCGGAGACGAATGCGTCACCGTCCTGGACGGTTACTTTGTCGAAGTGGTATTCTGCACGGTGTCTGGAGTGGTGTGGTACCTGGCCTTGAGAAAAATAATCGAAAACTTACAGTCCAGGGAACAGAGCGATTGGCAAGTGAACGACGTCGGGCTGATCCACAGCTTGTCACAGGAATGACTATCACTTGCCGGCCACCGCTGCTACCCGCCAGCCTTGCCTGTCCCTTTGTGGAGTCGTAGTTCCACGAAACACTAAATCATTTTAAATTGTTTTTAAACCTTTCCCCCCCCCCAAAAAAAAAAAAACTCGCCGGTCTTAACCAGTGATTTCGACCGGTATATTAATTGGAAGGCTGCAGGTACCTCTACTAATTTATGTACAAAACGAAACCTAAATAGTATAATGTAGTTGAAGTGCGTGCCTATCAATAACAATCCTACATGTGTGCACCGCGTATTTTATATTATTTTAACTATACAAACTACCGAGTACTCGCTATAAATTAGGTATTTTAAATGAAAAAATAAAATAAAAAATTGTTAAGACTTTTCAGATAATACCTATACATGTTTAATCAATTAAACTCAAAATTTCAAATTCCAATTAAAACGTTGTCAACTTCGTTATAAAAATCCACTTACCTATAGTAAGAAAAACATTTTTTGAATTATTGAGTTGGTAAATGTCTTATTAGTTGTTATATTTAATTAAAAAACCAAAATTTTAAATTATTTAAACTCTATACCTAATAAGTAATAAGTTTTAACAAGAGAAATAATGTAACTAACAATTTCGTAGGTAAGTTCTAAAAGTAAGAAGGTAACCGACAAGATAATGATTACAATACAATCATTGGATTTACATATTTAAGATTGTTGGATTGTTGCAGAAATAGATGTACAAACAAAAATGTACGGAGTAATTATTATACATGTTTAACTACAAAATCAATTTTAAATTTCATACATTTTGTCAACATTTGAAACTTTAAATGCTTATAAAAAATAATTGTGCACATGTATTTTTAATATGTTTAAACCGCTATTGTAACAATATATATCAAGAGCCTTGTATTAGATTTTAACACTTTTTGACCCAACATATAGGTATAATTTTGTTGAAATTTATAGAAAAAAAACTAAAAAAATTAAAAAATTAACTATGTCCGTAAACAACTCAAAACAAGTTAAAATATTTTGAAAATTTTATCGAATATAGGAATTGATAAAATTAACACATGGGGTAAATTTCAAGTATCTACGCTTATTCGTTTTTGAATTACAACTTAATAAGAAAATCGCTACATGAGAATTCGCGTGATGCTAATATAAAATTTGAGTGAAAAATTCATGTATCTACAGTAATTTGTATTAGTTACTCAAAAAACCAAAATCGATTATGTCAAAAATTTTTACTTGGATATAATATAAAACATGAAACTAACGTATTTATAAATAAAATTAGGGCTGATTCATACCAATTAACCAATTAATATTAACCATTATGTAGGTAAATATCCAACTATTAGGTACCTAATCAATATAAATTATGAATTCTTATATTTTAGATTCTGAGTGTCTTTATCAAATATTATTTATCAATAAAATCATAACCGCGGTAAGCAGGAAAAATAATTAAATAAACAGAAATGTCGCAATTACGCCACTGCCGTTTATTTAGTTTAGTTTATTTAGCCAACTATCTTGTGTCTGGTTTGATAATAATACCTTATATTGTGTCAAGCTCGTGTGATTTAATACAATGTTTTAAATTTGTAAATTTGATGATTGATTTACTATAACACCTCGTGGATTCCGGTGGTCAACCAAATTAAGTTTACTATATTGTTGCCTTTAAAATGGTTGGCGAGTCGGAGACTGACGATAATGCGCGAGTACTTAGACTGTTACAAAGAGGGAAGACCCTGATAGAAGTAACAAGTTATAATAATAATAAGTTACTTCTATCGTGCAGGCGAAGACCATCATTGCCATTGTAACCCATGAAGGAACTATTAGCCGTATTAAATCCATGTAGACGAATTATTCAAGCAATAGTTTCCACTACTCCGGATTTACCATGAAAAAAATACATGCATTTTTAGTTGCTGTGGGGGATTTAGATTCGTTGTGGGAGACCTATTTTGTGGTCGATAATCAAGTGGTTCTTGAAGCTTCTCTGAACCAGGATTTATGTAGGGAGTTTTTTTTTTCAACCAAGGAAGCTGAATCGGACGAATCTAGGACAAAATATCCAAATGTATCCGTTTTTTCAAAAATAAGAACATTACACTTTACTTTCTAATAAAATTAGCTCAAATATCAAATTATTTAATTATAAAAATATACCTAATATATAATAATAATATAAATATAAATATATTACGTAATATATAAATTACGTTAGTATAGTACCTACGTAATAATATCACAAAATATACTGCAAATATACTGTATTATTAGTCAATTAATCAAATATAATTTACTAGACTATTTTCTAAAAATTTAGAAAACGTTTTTAAAAAATTTCTAAAAAATTAGCTCAAATATTAAATTATAAAATTAGCTCGTAAAATTAGTTAAACTTATATACCCTGTATTACGTACTTACTAATATTAAAATAAATTAGGCACATTAATATAGTAATAATATCACAAATTTGAAATTATACTGCACACACATTAGTCAAACAGTCGAATAATATAAAATAATTTGTCTTTATGAATACAGCAAACACACAATAAAATAAAACAAAATATTAAATAATTTTCTAAATAAACGACTACCTACACTATTTCTGATTAGTGACTACTGTTGGATAACGATGGGCGGTCGACTGGTGGCGTGGCGATAAATTGTATTAATTGTAAGGTTCGCGTGTTGGCGATACGATGATAAACCAGCTATAATCCTCGGTAACAAACAATAATAAGGATCGTTTGAAACTTTTATTTATCCTGAATTGGAAAATAAACATTGGGTACCCTAATTGTCTTAATTAAATTAAACTACCTAGGTAGTACATTTATTGTTAGTTAATTTGTTTAAATTAATAAAATATTTAACGTCAGCACATTTTAGCACAATAAAGATTTGTAAATAAAGATTTGTTGATGCAAATAATATAAATCGACCTATAGTGTGGCGAGAGTACCTACCTACGGGCGGACGAAGGAAAACTTCTTTCTCTCTGCGGGGTCAAACCAACATTTTGGCGTCGGTCAAGCAAGTCACTCAAGTCGATGGTAGGGGGGAGAGGTTTTGCAGTACATGGTAGAAACCCCGAGTAGCTAAGAAACTCATGATATTTAAATTAATGTTCAATTACCCGACCATATTTGACGATATCAAACCAAAGCATGTGGCGTCGGCACGCGATGAATGAATGCGAACATTTTGAGGGTATTGTGGTCAAAACCAGTTTTTTCCGAAGAAGTGTGATGTCGACCGGGTTGTTGCAGACTTTTTTTGTGTAACCTCTGTAAATATGTTTTACTTCAAAAACGGTTTAGGGGGGGGGGGCGCAAGTCGGTAAGACACTAAAACCAGTACTTAGGTAACTATTCGGAACTTTTTTCTTTTACCGGACGTCCAGACGCCATTTTATCCGCAATATTTATTGTTTAAACGTATCTATCTATATTCTATGTAGACATATTGTAGTTTAGCATGCTGAAAACGATGGTGAAGTCAGAAATTGGCGGTAGGATTTAGTTATAACTTAAAACTAATTACATTTTCATATAGGTAGGTTTACCCGGAGCGGCACGGTCACTCGATCAGACAATAAAAATCAAAAATATCGATCGACTTTTGATGTAAGACCACCTTGGGTGGATCTAGGAATTTAAGTATCTATAATTTTGAAACAAAGTATGCTCACCATCGTTTTCAGCATGTTTAACTACTTTAAAAGCAAAAAAAAATTTACAAAAAAAGGGATGTCGGGTCAATTAGAAATATAGCAAATATTTAAGTGCATTGATGGATGCGTGTACCACATAATAATAATTGTATTGAATTCACATAATATACCTATATTGTATTATCCGTACCTAACCTAAAATATATTTTCGCAGGATTTGTCAAAGTTTGGTAGTATGGATTTGTATTATTGTTAAGCTTATATATTAACACTTATTAGTTAACCCTTATACAGACGTATTATAAATGCCAAAAGTTAAACCATCGTTTTTCTATCACTTGCTTAATTAAGTAACTATAAAAAAAGGTGGTACATTTCTAAAGGTATTCTTGCTTTGATAATGCTAAGAGGCATTTAAATCTTGGCCCTACTATCATAAGTTATGTAAACGTAACACTAATTCGAAATTTTTAATTGAAATAAAATCAACTTATTACCTACACCAAGAGCTTTTTTTATAAATCATATTTGATTTTCTGATTCAAAAATCAAAGTATGATTTAAATTAACATAAAAACAAAACTCTATATTGATATAACATTAAAATATCAGCAACAAAAATTAAAAGTTCAATATATGTTTATTTTATATTCATTTATAAATATGAGTGTATAATGTATTATATAAATATATAATAAATTATAACCTGTAATACAATACAATAATAATAATAAAAATAATGATGATAATAATATATTATTATAAATATATAAGGTAGGTACATCATACAAAATACAATGAGCTTGTAAAAACTTATTAAAAATAACTATTAATAAACCAAGAAGATTGATATAGGTATTATTACAAAAATAAAAAATATTTGTAATAATAATAACAATAAAAAGATTCAAAAATCTAGGAGTAACAAAAAAAAAACATAGTTTTGGTCATACAAGTTATATAATACTGTGAAACTAGGCTTAACATGATTTAAACACAGTAAAAAGTAAATAAAACCGGTTAAAAATAATAATATTAACCGTGCACTGGTGTCATCAACAAAATTATGGTTAAAAAAAGGATAAAAATAAAAAATATTTTCTTACTAAGAATGGTTCAATAAGCCTGACGATTTGGTGATATTTACAAAACAAGTCATATAAATTTAAGTTCCTACATATCTTTTTGAACCATAATATGTAATATAATATTAAAATAATTATTATATAAAAGTTATCAAAACAATATTTTTAGAATTAATCACATTTAACAATAAGTATTGCATATAAGACACATTGTTAGTACAAAACAGTATCTTAAGTGATGATAAAACATGCAAATCTTAGCAAAATTAAAAAAAACCTACAAGTTAAGATAGTATTTGTCTAATACATTGTAGTTGTTTGTCATCACTCAAGTAACTGTTGTCACTGATTATTGCTAATGAAATATTTTTAATAAAAAAATACTATATAAATTTAACCACAAAATAAAGGTGCATCACAGCCCTAGTTATGTTAGGCAACATATAGGCGAAGTTTGAAAGTCTTAGTCATCAATTATTGCTTAGGCCACCTCAAAAAGGACTTTCCCCCAAAAAAAAAAAAAATTATAATAGTAATAATAATAATAATGATGATAATAATAATAATAGTATATAAATAGAAGTAGAAATATAAAACAAAATGTATAAAAAAAATAACACATGTTAAAGCTCGAACATTACCACTAGCCTTAAATTTAAGGATTTAAAATAGATAACTACAAGAAATGAAATAAATAATTTTAGAAAAAAAAATCACAATGAAAGAAATGGATAAACATTTTGGAAAAAAAAACAAATGTAATAGGAAAGACATAATTTAACAACTGAACACCAATGACAAAAATATATATGCCTTGTATATAATATAAAAAAAACCATTGGGAATTTGAATTCTACTAATATTTAATACCATTATGAATTAGAGTATTATAATATATTATGGGCAAAAATTTGAAAGACGTTTTATGATTCTAAAAAACTTATAAGTTAAATAGTGGAATGGGAAATATATAATATCTGGAGAATGTTATATAGTATTAATAAAATTATTGTCTAAGAATGTCCATAGTAGTTTGTCCTATTCAATATAAACAAAGAGATCCACTAGTAATGAAAATGTTTAAGATGTAGTAAGATATTACAATCAGAAGAATATCACTTCTTCTTCGGCGGTGGAGGTAGCATTGGTGTTATTGATGCTGCCACTGTTTTCGGTATTCTGTGTTTTGGATTGTTTTGACTCTGGGCTACGAATGCGAAATTTTTCTGGCAATTTCGGATAGGTATTTGTTCTGCCAGCTTTGTTGCCCGATTGTTTTCCTTCTATTATCTAAATATTTAAAAATTAAAAATAAATGTAATAGACACAATGTTACTACGATAAATATCAATTATATAACAATAATATTAGTGAGCAACTGCATTAAGAAATTCAAGTATTAAAATTTAAAATTAACAAAACCACTTTTCAACACTTTATCTAATAATGTACAATTAAATAAAAATCATTGTTTAATTCAATATTTTTATTATTCATTTGGATTACCTACGCGATTACAGATTTTTCTGCTGAATGTAAATTTGGTATGTAGTTTAAATGACAGAGCCAACACAGATGAGTATGACATCCTCTATCTTAACTTAATACTTTTGTCAACATTTATGATTTTATGATATTTGAGTAAAAATAAATGTTAAATGTATTAATGCCAATGATGAATTGACATTACATAAGGTAAAGCTTTTTAATCAGTGGCGGCTCGTATATATGTGCACAAGTGCACGTGTACTACCTACCCAAACTCAAGAAAAATTGAAAACATAAATCATAATAATACAACTAAGTACTAAGTGTTATTAAGATTATATTTAAAAATAAAAAAACATAAATTCAGAATATTATGAAAATAATACAAAATTTGGATTGGGTTATTTCTATGGCCATACAGCCGGGGGGTTGTCCGTGATGGAATGGTATCGGTGTGCATTATAGTGGTGCAGTAGTGCACCACTATAAGCTGTGCACATTTGTACAATGTAAAAATTATAACAAGTCAAAACACGCAACCAGCATTATAATGGAAATGATGTACACATTTGTTTTGTGCACATAAACAATTAAATTGTTTTCAGCGAATTATTTTCGACGGGCCCGCGCCGTTGCGAGTCAGCATAGGCATTATAATTTATTTTTACTCTCTTTTATTTATTATATTCTGATTATCAGCTGATAAATAATGTTGGTCGATCATTATCGAAAATTCAAAACAACAATCGTGTTTCTGTTTAAAAATCTAAACAAAATAAAAGCTTATTGGTGAAATGTGAATTACTAAAATTTGTAAACAATTATTTAAAACATTTTATAATATATAATATATATAATATTGGTTATAATTTTTTTGGATATGGACTACTTCATTAAAAACCCAAGAGCCGCCACTACTTTTAATCATAATTTATATAATATGTATCATATTCTTCTGCAAATATATTCTAAATACCTGAGCACTTTGCATCATTGCCGGACTAGATCCTGTTCGTGAATGACTAGGACCTTGTTGATTTGATGGTGACAGTAATTCAACAGAACTGCCTTGAACAGGGTTCATTGGGTTTTTGGCACTCTCACGCAACTTTAATGGTAAAAGCTGTTGAAAAGCATATGCTGATTGGGAAGTAGGTGAAGTTATAGTATTGGGTATGGTGTCAGATGTAGAACTTGCATTATTGTTACCCAATTTATTAGCTAATTTAAATGGTAATTTTTGTTTTATTTGAACTTTGGAAGCTACCTAAACAAATTTACAAAAAATAGATCACATGAGAATTTTACCTAATTTTCCATTGTAAATATATTCCTACCTTTTGTTGGTTTGTAGCACTAATCAGATTAATAGGTAATGTAGACGTGGAAGCAGCTGAAGGTGGAGTATGCTGTTTCCATTTCATAGAATCGGTTCTTTTACTACGCACGGATTCTGAATGAGACAAAGGTTGAGCTACTCCTTCGGAGGGAGATTGATTTTGTGTTTGTTGATTTGGTGACACAGGTGGCGGCTGCATATTAGGTGACACTATAATACCTTGATTGGTTAACATTTGCAATTTAAGGTAAAGCTGCTCTCGTTGCTGAGTTACATCAGTTTGTTCTAATCGTACTTGTTCCTAAAAACAATTGAAATCATAATTAAATATTAATACTACTCAAATTTCAGGAAATCAACTACCTAATGTATAATATTACATTTTAGATTTAATAATTAAATAACTTCAATTTTAAGAAGTAATGTTACAGATCATTGTTAATTAAACTGTGTACACACATTCTAATAATTGCTATTTTAAATTGTAAAACTAACCTGTAATCTGAGCAACTGTTCTCTTTTTTCTTCCCAATCCTTAATTTCAGAATCACGTTCTCTTATCCAAGACTCTTTCTCATGTGTAAACTTGTCTTGTAGATTGCGTAGTTCCTCCAATTGATGATTATGCCTATAAGCTGGTCTTTTATCTTTTAACAAGGAACTGGAACTCATATTAGAACTGTTTACAGCCGGGTCTTCTAGAATATTCTGTGACTTGTAAGCAGCTAACTCAGCTTGAAGACTATAAAAAATGTTATTCCACCAATTATTTTTGACGAACCTACTACATTCCACAATCACCTTTTATATCACATAATATCAATACGACAATACATTTAATTTAAATCATTATAAATTAATAACCACTGGAGAAGGGTTAATAAACAATAATAATAACTGAGGTACCTATTGACAAAAAAATCAAATTTAGAAAAAGGCAACATTGATAAATATACACTATATAGGTACTGCTGATTTTATCATTTTTTTTAAAAATATTTGACATCGCTGATCTCATACTCATCATAAAAATTTATTATAATGGACAACAATATATGAACTGTAAATATTACTATGGGCTATTATCTAAATGTATACTAATTGGAGAAATTTCATTTTCAAAGAATGTTGTGAATCATCTCTTAAAAAACATGGTTTGTTTTTATATTGGTTATTTTTATAACCTTTTGTGGTTTTTTTATTTTTGTCAAACATTATTATAATAATTAATTTGTATAATTGTAATCTGATTTAATTTAATCAATATTTAACTATTTATAATTCAAAGTAATTTTTATGAATTAGTAGGGTTAAGCTTCAAATACCGCAAATAAAAATGCATTACATAAATTCAGCTCAGGCATAAAACAGGTAATCTGGTTTTGGATATATAACCGAAATAATTATAAACAACATTATATTTACCTATCAATATTAGTCATTTGTTGTGAAATAATGGAAGATAAAGTATAAATATGATGTGTTAATTCCATTGCTGTAGCTTGTTGTTCTTTTCCTAGTGCTAATAACGTTGGGAACTCGCTGGATGATTGTATTGTAGTAGCACTTTGAGATGAGCTTGTACTACAATTTTCTTTCCAAGTAAGATTTCCATCTCTCTATATTAATATATAAAAATAAATACATACTATTAATAATATTTTTAAAATAAATTTGAATTATGACAATCCATAATCTGATTTTAGATCTATATTTACCAATTTGGAATCTTTACGAGTGGAACTTGGAGTACCCATTGGACTAGAATTGCCAGATTCCACACTATTTTCATTACCATCAACAACTTTTGGTAATTTTCTTAGAGCATCTAAATATAAAAGTATATAATAAATAAATTAAAGTTAACCAAGTTAACTTAAAGTTGACTAGGAACATAAACTTAATATTCTAAACCTAATAAATAAATGTGTATTATATTGGAGTTATGTGTGTGTGTGTGTGTGTGTAGTTAAGACTAGAAATATCATATTGCATACTAGTCTGCAATGAAGTACCACATTTTATGTCTTTGTTGTCCTTGCTATCATATATCGATCGCCTAACTATCATGTGATAAGCGCGTATATCGAGTTCGAATCTCGGATTAGAAAAATGATATTTTGCAATTTTTTTTTTTTTCGTAACGTAACCTTTTTTCGATTTCAATTCTATGTGCCAAAGAAAAAACATAATACATAATTATTATTATGATAGTTTTAAAACCCATGGTAACCATTTATAAACATAAATAAATAACGTAACGGTTTTTTATAACGTAACGTTTTTCGATTCTATGTGCCAAAGCAAAGACATAAAATGTCAATAATTCATTTATGAGTGAGTGCGTTATGCCTGTAATTACTTTTTGGTGATGATAATGAATTATCAAATCCACCAAATGTTTCAGCTCTTTTAGGTAATGTTGGTGAAACATATGTAACACTTTGATGTTCCCCTACAGAACTTGCACTACGAGATAAATTTGTGCCAGAAGCATACAATGAACAAGCAAGTTCATTGACTTTCTGAAAACATAAACAAAAAATTTTAATACAAAAAAAACTAGATAACAATTCAAATAAAATTTAATTTACCTGTATAGCATTCATAACTTCTTTTCGTATCTTTTCCGAATCTTGATGCTCTGTAACCAAATGACAATATGATGGAGTTTCAATTGGTAAGCTTTCTACTCCAGCAGATGCTAATAGCTTTAGCTGTAAGCCCATTTTTTCTTCTAAAATCAGAGCTTGTTCCACATCTTTTTGCCTCAAAACTCCTATGAAAATTATACACAGAAATTAATAAACAATGAATAACACTATATAACTCTAAAATGTAATATAAATATTGTAACAAGTGACGTCTTCGACATCGTACATCACTCCTTAAGTTGAGCACGGCTAATATGTTGAATGATTAGTAATGGCAAATGTGGTCGCGCAATATATATTATGCTGACTAGGGTTCAACACGCATTGTGTTAATGCCAGACCGGGACTCCTGGCAATCAATAGTTGAGAGTCAAAGGTTGATAGTGGAAGTTGATGGGTGACGGAGAAATTTGAATTAATAATATCTCAGAAAAACGGTATTGTGGATACTTTTGCTAGATAAATCAGTAGTGGGCTTTTTAAACTGTTGTAACATACATTGTGAAGATTCATCAACACTTGTGCAATTAAAGGATCTCGATAAATCAACTATAAAAACTTTTAGAAGTGGACTTCTTGATACTGAAGATAAAGATAATTCTAACGATAGCACAACATTTCTTTTTTCTTTACTGAAAACAAGTTATTATTAGACTTAAATAAAAGCCAGAAGCGTATGAAAAGAATATTGGTGAACCAGACTCATAGTTAGGATTAGAAAATAAAGATAAGGATATTGTTGAAACTGGAAACGTGGCAGAAACCAAAAAAATCTCTTAATAAACTTAGAAAAATCCCTTTCACCAATTAAAAATACTAAGAAAACAGATAATTTAAGACTTGAATCTGAAAAAGTCAATCAAAATATTAACTTGGAAATATTAGATAGTTTAAAAATAATTGGTACCTCCAGCAGCATACGAAGCGACAGGTTGAGAGGAGACATTACTATATTCAATAATAAGATGATACGTACCAACAATTTCTCTTATATTATTTTTCTTAGTTTCTAATTGCCTTTGTCTTTCTTCAAAACTGAAGGTTACATATCCATTATCTTCTTCTTCAGGACATTCATTCACAGCTGAACGAATAGATTGTATCCATACTTGTTTGTCTTTAGGTTTATGCACTTTGAGTTCAAACATTTCTGGTTCTGCTGGATTAGAAGATATTAAATAAATACCTTTAGTATCAGTTCCAGCTTTTTCTCTGACTAAGAGTTTTTGCAACGATACTACACCAGCAACTGGTTTTAAAACCTATTAAAAAAATAAATATATAAATATATATTTAACTAAAAATAATAACATGACATATGATATATATTTTTACTTATTAACTAAAAAAAATTACTTTATTTTCTTTTTCTTTATTGCTTTCAGGCATAAAAAAGGTATACTTGTGATTATTTTCAAGTATAAAAAACAACACATCGGTCATAACAATAACATTAACCATCACCATTTGGGTTTTTGCATGACGTTGCATAAGCCAAGCTGTCCCTTCAAATCTAAGAAAATATATTAATTTAATAACATGTATACTACATATATATTATATATTTACTTAACACTTAATAACAAAAATATTATAATGAACAAACAATTTCGGGGTTTATTATTTAAGTTTATTTTTTCTTATGTAGGTACTTGAAGTTGTACACAATTTTGTTAAACAATAATATACCAAAAACATATGAATATTACTTAACAAATGATCTCATTCCAATACAATGATTTAAAAGATTTAATATCTAAAATTATAATATGTATTTAGTAGGTAGGTACATGATAATATTTATTCAATAAAATGTGAAAATACTGTTACACTTGAAAAAACGAACAAAGAATTTAGTTTTATATTAACCCAAGTATATATAATAATACTCTACCCATGTTAAAAAAAATAGCAGAAGACTTGAACTCAGGGGCACACACTACAACGAAGACCAATTTTATGAATATCATGAGGCCTGCTTAATTTTAGATTCTGAGCGGAGCAACGAATGTATTGATTATTATGTGTTTTTTTTTTTAGTGTTGTTTTTGTCACCACTATTTAGGGCAGTAAAACTGATTTGATTTTCTTCAACAGTATCTTGTTTGATGGGAAAGTAAATGTAGTTGGTGCTTTTGGGGATTAAAATTTAAAATTCTCAATAGTTTTCAAAAGTACTGGAAAAAACAATATAAAATCTGAGGAAAAATGGAAATTTTTACGTAAAATCAGTTTTTGACAAAATCAATTTTGGTACACTGTATATACATGACATTGTTAGTGGTTTTTTATACTCACATTTACTATGCGCGATTAAAATTTTCAAAATATTTTGATTTGTTTAGAACTGTTTATGGACATTTTCAGTTTCTAATTTTTTTAGGTTTTTTTTTCTATAGATATCAATAAAATTTTATTCTTTTGGTCAAAAAGCTTTATAATTTAATACAAGGCTCCTAATATATTGTTACAACAATAATTGAAAAATAATAAATATCAATGGTCACAATTTTTTAGATTCTGAGCGGAGCGATGAATGTATTGGTTTTACAATGATGTATGTTTTTATATTTTTATATTTTTATATTTTTATATTTTTATTTATATTTTTGTGTCTGTCATCACGTTTTAGGACAGTAAAAGTGCTTGGATTTTCTTCATCAGTAGCTTTTCTGATAGGAAAGTGAATCTAGTTGGTACTTTGGGGGGTCAAAAGTATAAATTTCCCAGTAGTTTTCACAAGCGCCGGGAAAAAACAACATAAAAATTAAGGAAAAACGGGAATTTTTACTCAAAATTGGTTTTCCAAAAAATCGATTTTGGTTATTGGTGTAACTCCAAAACAAATGAACGTATATACATGAAATTTTCACTGGTTGTTTATATTTGCATTTTCTATACACGATAACATTTTCAAAATATTTTGATTTATTTTGAACTGTTTAGGGACATTTTCATTTTCCATTTTTTTTTAGTTTTTTTTCTAAAAATATCAATAAAATTTTATTAATTGGTTGCGAAAGCTTGAAAATTTAATAGAAGGCTCCTAATATGTTGTTTCAAAGGCAGATGAAAAATATTAAAAATCCTTAGTCACAATTTTTTTTTATAAGCATTTAAAGTTCAAAAATTGACAAAATATGGAAAAATCACGAAAATTAGCAAATTATTTTGAGTTAAGAATTCGTAAAAATTTTTCTTTTAAATCTAAGATTTGAAAATGAAACACAAGATTCCTTATAAGATTATCTACCTTTATCAATAAAAAAATCTCTACCGGACAGTCAAATTAAATTTTTATGAGCGTTTGAAATTCAAATTTTTACAACATTGGATTTTCACTCGATTTCTCATGTAGCGATTTCCTTATTTTGTTGTAATTCAAAAACGAATAACTGTAGATACATGAAAATTTCACTGAATGTTTATATTAGCATTTCATATACACCATACAATTTTGAAAATATTTTGACTCTTTTTGAGCTGTTTATGGACATTTACAGCTTTCAATTTTTTTTAGTTTTTTTTTCTATAAATATCAATAAAGTTTTATCTGTTGGGCCAAAAAGTGTAAAAATTTAATACAAGGCTCCTGATATATTGTTACAATATCAGTTGAAAAATATTAAAAATACATAGGCACGATTTCTTTTTATAAGCATTTAAAGTTGGAATTTTGACAAAATTTATCAAAATCTCGAAAATTATCAATCGTTGGAATTAAAAAATTATAAAATGTTCAGTTTTTATAACTAAGAGTTGAAAATTTAAAACAAAGATTCTCTTAAATAATTCATACTGTAACCAAAAAATCTAAAAAATATATAAACACACTTATTTTTTACAGACATTTTAATTTCAAATTTAGACAAAATTTCATATTTAAACCAAGAATTACGATTTTAGTTATTTTGTTGTGATTGAATAATACTATTCGTGGGTACTTGAAACTTCTAAAGTGTACTATTATATATCTATGATAGTATCACAGTTTTTGTTGATGTATAACGCGTTATAAGTATCTAATGGATATTGTGATATGATTAATTTGGAATTTATTATAGGTACCTATTATAGGTCAATTTTTTGTTTAATACCATAGATATGTATATAATATGCCTTATACATAGACTGACATACCATCACCGCTCAGAATCGTTTTTCTTGTACAATGATATTATATCATTGAATTCAAATTTAATACCATCCATTATACAGTGACCCACTTGTAACCTACTGTACAGCAGAGCGACACCCACTTGCCCACCTTTTTTTTATATGCATTTAAAGTTCAAATCTTGAAAAAATACTTAAAAATCACAAAAATGTGCAAATTATTTTGAGTTAGAAATTCATAAAAAATTTTCTATTCCTTATAATTTTGTCTACCTTTATAAAAAAAAAATGTCCATAAGAAAGTCAAATTACATTTTTATGAGGGTATGAAGTTCAAATTTTTACAACATTGGATATTATACAAGTGGGATCACCATCTTTTTTTTTGTGTACAATATAATTTCCTTGAAAAGGAGTACAAATTGGAGAATGTTGTCTCTTTAATTCCTCTGTAATTAAATTATGATCTATCAAGGTTATGTAAGAAAATTTTTGAAAATCATTTTATGAGTTAATTACCCATCATGGTATAACTTACTAGTATATTGCTCATTCTTATGTGTTAATAACACAACCCAAAATTTAATTTAATAGAAAATATTTTCTTTATAATAATATCAATGAAAATATAATATCTTATGTATTTGATTAGAAATGTATTTATTGATAAATAAAATTGGATTCATGATATTTAAAAAATATTATAAAAACAATGTGGTTTAATCAATTTTCATGAAAATGTATTCCCTAGTTATATCATAACGTAATAAAAATATTTTGTAACAAGACTCACCTCAGTCTTCTGTTTTCAGACAGTAAATCAGATTTTTTAAATTTACGTCCTCTAAAATTAGTATAAGACTTGGCTTCCATCCGATTATAAATTTCAAGTTTTCTATCTTCTTTTTCTTTTTCAGCTACCTGAGAGTCTACTTCCACCAATATATCCTAGACATATACCGTTTATGAAATCAATTAATTTAACTAATATCTATATAAATATTCAACTTACTTTAACCATTTTTAATGCCCTAGTAAGTTTTTCACATTCGATTTTGTTTTCTTTTGAAGTTTTTATAAGAGGTTCAATGAGTAATGGATACTTAGTTAGTCTTTGAGTGACAAACAATACACACTCGGGAATACCTTTTTTTTTCAACAAAGGATTGGCCTATAACAAATATAATCAATCTGTAGACTGGCAGTTATCAAAATCACTCAATTTGTATATTCACTAACCTGACAGTGCTTAATAAAATTAAAAAATGCTGGATCTTTTTCTAAAACTTTATAAACATCCAATGCATCCCTATGTCTTGAGCAGAATTCTCCATAAGAGCTCTTTAAACGTTGAGCATTTATGTTTGAAAATTGATCTAATAGTAAATCGGCGATAGAATCTACAATACCATTATTATTGATAGCGGCTGAACATTGTTTTTCTTTCAGACTTTTCAAAAATCCAATGTGAATTTCAGTAAGTTCAGCTAATCTAGGGAACATACGATAAACTTTATCGCCGAGTTGAAAATGTTTTTGTAAACCATCAACAAATACCTATAACATATTGATTGATTTAATATTGACACATATTACAATGGATTGATCTATATATATATAATTACTTTCTGCATGACTCTCAAAGTAAGGCAATGATGTTTTTCAGTTAACACAAATTCATAAATATGTTCTTGGCGTTTTATTTCTTTATCTTTCAATTTTTTCAAAATCTATAATGCAAATTGGTAAATATTACTATTGAAAAAAATTCTACTAAATGTTTAATTACTTCTTTGGTAACAGTAGGTGTCCATGAATCAGGTTGTTCTTCGTGTAGTCCCAATGCAGGATCAGTTTCTAAATCGTGAGCTGTTATATGATCTTTTCAACAAAAAACAAATAAAAATATCAAAAATTACAAATTATTAGGTAGGGTTTCAGAATAATTGAATTTAGATCTTAAGTTCTTAAATTTATTTAGAGTATTTAAAATTGATATTTAAGTGGCTTACACATCAGGCAGTTAAAGTCACATAGAATCCGATTATTTCCTAACGTGTAAGTCACTTAATACCCTAACAAATACTTCAAGTGCTGACAACCAAATTTAGAATTTTGGTTTTCACCAAAATTGTTTGATGATATAAATAAGTTCTCAGAAAAAAAAAATAAATGTATTTAGTATTGGCATAGCTTATTCATATTATTATTAAGTTATTGTATATCACATATTAATAGGTGCTTACTTTCATTTAAAAATTCAAATTGGACCAAGGAAACTTCATCCGAATACCTAATAAAAAACAAAAATTGTTTAGAAAAGGAATATATAAGGAATTCACATTATTACAAAAATATTAAATATATAGTATTCATTAGTATGTTATAGGTATCGCTATAATGTGCAACAGAATATTGTGCTAATGTTGCACATTTCATAGTTGTTTCATATCCCTGTATATTATTAGATTAACTTTAGTGTAATACAACAAAGCTAAGTGTTATTATTATTTTATAATAATTGCACCTCATAACTATACACCGGTTGCTATTCATCTAGGTATGGCATCCTTAGCCGTGTCGCAGGTCTTAAATTTCTAGCGGGTCTTTTAAACAATAATATAGATACTCCAGTCTTTCTCTCGCAAATCTCCATTAAAGTTCCATCCCGTCCATCCCGCTCAAAAGCCCTCTTCTATGTCCCGCACGCCACCACTAACTATATGGCTAATGTGCCTTTAAGACGCCTAATGGTGTCTGCCAATCAAGAACCTTCCTTTTCCGAATTGCTAAATTTTTAATATATAAATTTAAGTTAAAGTTTTAGATTCTGAGCGGAGCGATGAATGTATTGGTTTTACAATGATGTGTGTTTTTATATTTTTTTTTTGTGTCTGTCATCACGTTTTGGGACAGTAAAAGTGCTTCGATTTTCTTCAATAGTGCCTTTTCTGATAGGAAAGTGAATCTAGTTGGTACTTTGGGGGGTCAAAAGTAAACATTTTCCAGTAGTTTTCACATGCGCCGGGAAAAACAACATAAAAATTAAGGAAAAACGGGAATTTTTACGCAAAATCGATTTTCCAAAAAATCGAATTTGGTTTTTGGTGTAACTTTAAAACAAATGACCGTAGATACATGAAATTTTCACTGGTTGTTTATATTTGCATTTTCTATACACGATAACATTTTCAAAATATTTTGATTTATTTTGAACTGTTTAGGGACATTTTCATTTTTCATTTTTTTTTAGTTTTTTTTCTAGAAATATCAATAAAATTTTATTTGTTGGTTGCGAAAGCTTGAAAATTTAATAGAAGGCTCCTAATATGTTGTTTCAAAGGCAGATGAAAAATATTAAAAATCCTTAGAAACAATTTTTTTTTATAAGCATTTAAAGTTCAAAAATTTACAAAATATGGAAAAATCACGAAAATTAGCAAATTATTTTGAGTTAAGAATTCGTAAAAATTTTTCTTTTTAAATCTAAGATTTGAAAATGAAACACAAGATTCCTTATAAGATTATCTAAATTTATCAATAAAAAAATCTCTACCGGACAGTCAAGTTAAATTTTTATGAGCGTTTGAAATTCAAATTTTTACAACATTGGATATTCACTCGATTACTCATGTAGCGATTTCCTTATTTTGTTGCAATTCAAAAACGAACAACTGTAGATACATGAAAATTTCACTCAATGTTTAAATTAGCATTTTCTATACACCATACAATTTTGAAAATATTTTGACTCTTTTTGAGCTGTTTATGGACATTTACAGCTTTCAATTTTTTTTAGTTTTTTTTTCTATAAATATCAATAAAGTTTTATCTGTTGGGCCAAAAAGTGTAAAAATTTAATACAAGGCTCCTGATATATTGTTACAATATCAGTTGAAAAATATTAAAAATACATAGGCACGATTTCTTTTTATAAGCATTTAAAGTTGGAATTTTGACAAAATTTATCAAATCTCGAAAATTATCAATCGTTGGAATTAAAAAATTATAAAATGTTCAGTTTTTATAACTAAGAGTTGAAAATTTAAAACAAAGATTCTCTTAAATAATTCATACTGTAACCAAAAAATCTAAAAAATATATAAACACACTTATTTTTTACAGACATTTTAATTTCAAATTTAGACAAAATTTCATATTTAAACCAAGAATTACGATTTTAGTTATTTTGTTGTGATTGAATAATACTATTCGTGGGTACTTGAAACTTCTAAAGTGTACTATTATATATCTATGATAGTATCACAGTTTTTGTTGATGTATAACGTGTTATAAGTATCTAATGGATATTGTGATATGATTAATTTGGAATTTATTATAGGTACCTATTATAGGTCAATTTTTGTTTAATACCATAGATATGTATATAATATGTCTTATACATAGACTGACATACCGTCACCGCTCAGAATCGTTTTTCTTATACAATGATATTATATCATTGAATTCAAATTTAATACCATCCATTATACAGTGACCCACTTGTAACCTACTGTACAGCAGAGCGACACCCACTTGTCCACCTTTTTTGTTTTAATGTTTAAGTTTTTATTGTCATCAGATAATTGTATTTCATATTAATGTAAGCTGTATATATTTAATTTAGTTTTGTCTTATCGTAAAATTTCTATCATGATATAAAATATACATTGTAATGTCAAAAAGGGCTAAGCCCGTATAACAAATAATAAATAATAAATAAATAAATATGCACATAAATTATATTTTTCTGTTTTAAAAAACTATTTTTTTTTATATTGATTTTATGCGATAAACCGATTATATATATATCGTTTAACCGATAATCCGATAGTATCGACGTATCATTTGTATTCGATACATTGGATAATTCTGTTTAGTAAAAAACATTGATTAATCGATACTATAGCACAGCCTTACTCAGCATGGTTAGATCAGCAGATCATCCCACAGAACGATTCTGAAAAATACCTAGGAATGCACCTCGATTCACAATTAAATTGGAAACATCATGTCGCCAGAAAAACTGCAAATTAAACTGAAATTGAGGAAACATTATTGGCTGATCGGTAGACACTCTGAATTAAATCTCACATGCAAACGTCTTTTGTATGTAGCGATAGTTAATCCAATATGGACCTATGGAATACAGCTGTGGGGTTGTGCCAGTAAGTTCAATATTGACATTATCCAACGTTGTCAAAACATTGATCTACATACTATTGTCGCAGCATACCAGTACGATAGAAATGATATTATCCACCGAGATTCGAAGATGACTTCCGTCCAGGACGAGATTACCAAGTTTGCCAGAAAACACGAGAAAAGACTAGATAAACACACCAATCCAGCAGCAATTCAACTACTTGATAACTCTCAAGATATTAGGCGTCTCAAACGCCAAAGACCTTATGACTTAGTATAAATTATTAGACTAAGCTGGGACCTCTCCACTGGGAGTGATTACCCAAACATGTTTTTTTGTATATATTTACTAAATATTTATTCATTAATTTATTAATATTTAATATGTATGTACACCTCTTAAATGTATTGTTAAAGATTGTTGATCATTATAATAAAAAAAAGCTTTCGGTTGGTTTATAAAAAAAAAAATTGAGACCAGTTCCTCTAAGGTAGAATGTCGTGTGGGTATACGCAATAGAAACATTTTTTGTTGGGCCGCAGCGTATTCTCTTGCTGCATAGAGTATAGTGTCTCTAACATTAATGGGTATAAATTTTGTTGGTAAATAACTTTCAACATAGGATACCTTTAAATTATTTTATATTCAAAATGTAGGTGTATATTTAACATCTATGAGATAAATTATTTTATTTACTTACACTACGCCATCTTGTGAATGACTATGAGCATCATCTTTATCTTCTGGATGGCTAAAATGAAATACAATTCAAATTAGTTAAAAATATACACAAATTTTATTTGATATAGAAAATTTAAAATTCCATATGAAAAGGATGAGTAACATACACACAGATTATACAGGTTATGATAAATACTACTAAAATAAATGTTAATATATAATACTTAATTATTTACCATATTATGTAAAAATGCAAAAATTATATGGAAGTTAGGGCCGCTTTCACCAATACTTTAAACTCCGATTAAAGTTAATCCGGGGTTTAATCGGCCAAATTTGCCCGGTTAAATATCTGTTATCAGTCGATTAAGCGTAGTCGAAGTTTAAAGTATTTGGTGAAAGCGGCCCTTAGTGCACAAACAAATGAAATATAAAAGTTATTATTTCTAACAATTAATATGTATTATGTACATTAGATAAATTTAAAAGGGTAGTGGATTTTAATTAAGAAAATCTTAAATGGATTTCTCTATACTATGTTAAATGCAGCAATAGCAATAATAATCATCATATCATATATGATCTGCATTATATTTCAATAATTTTATTAAATGAATCATTTTAACAAATATACTTTACAATACAGTGTCCCATGAGGATTTACCCATATAAGATACCTCCTGAGATAATACATTTATCATAAATCTGTATTTTTTATTAGACTCACAGAGACAAGGACTACATTTATTTTATTTTTTTATAGAGTTAAATTTTCTGAAAATTTTGATCTTGCAACATTTTATTGTTATTAATCTCATGATTTTTTTAGTTTATAGGTGAAACAGCAAAATACTGGTTTTGTCTGGGCGGCGAGTCCCCCATTACGGCTAATGGATATATCCCCACAAGACCCTGTATACTACCATATAACCCCAAAAAGAGCAGAACCAATATCCAATTTCTGTAAAAAGATAGAATTTTCTGATTGTCTTATGATGAAGTAAAATTAATAATTAATCATAATTATTATTTACAAATAAATATGATTACATTACTCAAATCCATTAATTAAAAATAAGTTTTAGAATTATTTTTAGAGAAAATCGCAGTTAATTATAATAGTATAAAATTATTTACTGGTGCTTTGACTTATTTTTACATAGCTCAGAATCTTTTTTAGAATTTAATTGTTATTTATTTTAAGTTTGTATGTACAAATTCCAGACATATAATCTACAAAAAGCAGTTGCTAAAATAACATGCATAAAAGGTTTTTTCTTATAATTATTTTTTTTTAAATACTATAAATAAAATACAATAACCATTGTAGGATGATGAATTGAATATTTTGTAATTATTACGTTTTTTAAACAATGAGAAATTATCGGATGTTGAAAGTTGTAACACATAGGTACATAATTATTATTAATTAATTTTATTAGTTAAAGAAAACTTTAAATTGTTTGTCATTTGTCTGTACAGTTCATTAATATTAATAATTAACTAGTTGTATGAATAATGTGCTAATTATAAATTAAAAGTAATATATTAAGAAATTAATAACAGATTACAGATTAAAAATTATAAAAACAATTAGCATCAAATCAATAGGTTTGAGAAAAATAAAATGATTAATTCTAAAAAACAAATAAAAAATTTTCTTGGATGCACTTCAAAGCATTTAGATTTTAATAGTACAATACACACATCTAAATATACTATAAAGTATACAACATTTTATACATATAATGAAAATGTATTATAGAGTAGGTAATTCAAACAAAGTAATTCTAGTTTTTTTTTCAGTTTTTCTTAGAAATCTCTAAGATTAAATGTGTATTAAAATCCAAAAATTAAATTGTAAGTCTGCTTATATAACTATATATACAAGTATACAATTTAGTAAAAAATAACTAATAAGTAAGAAAAATTCTCCAAAAGAGAAAAAAATTGTATATAATATGTATACAACACAGTAATATATTATTAATAGGAAATGTATAATCAACTTTAGTTCAATCTTAATCTATCTTAGGCCACATCTAGGTTACAATAAAATACTAAATGGTACAAAATTTTAATTTTGTATTTTGTACAAGAACTGTTTAATTATTTACTTTTAAGATTTATCTATGAGATAAAACTAAAACATTATTATGATTAATATTTATTTTAAGTAAAAATCAAACAAAACAATTTAATTCACAATAACATAGAGCCAAAAGAATTATTCAAAATGCACATAAAAAAGGGGTTGCAATAACAGTAGATCGCTATATTGTGTTGTGGGGGAAACTTACTTCACACCTAATTTGGTTGCTACCACTTTCCAAGGCGAGTAAAACTGCACCATAAATTTCCTGAGAACGGATAGGTGAAAAAAAAAAATTTATGCACACAAAAATAATTGAGGAATATTTTTTCAATTATTAAAATTATTATATCTACAATATATACAAAATAAATATTCTCTACTATCGTTATTCATTATAAATATCAAATATGGGTTAAAATATAATGAATGAAAATAATAAAAATGTGTTTTTTTCAAATGTTAATATTTGATGTTATATAAATCTAAAGCCATGCAACAAAGATTATAATTTATAAAATTATATCAAACATAAATAAATTGAATATACCTTAAACGTAAAAATTCACATTTATTTTATTCAGAGAAATTTTCAATGATCTTTATACATCTGGTTGAAGTGTTAAAATCGAAATTTAAGTAATAATATTGTTGTATTTTTAATACGTACTTATAAGACACATTTAATCATTTGATTAAGTTTTACAAAAGTCTAAATTGTTTAATTAATGTAGACCTAAATGTATTTATTTATTATATAGTATAGATTATATTTAAAAATATTAATATTCATGAAAAAGTTATTTTCTGTATCAAGTTTATTTATAATTACCATATCACCACATTATTAATAAAACATACAATTGTTTATATAATATTAAATAGGCTTCTTCAACGATATCGATATTTCGATACGATATCGATATCGCGAACTTTTTTTCGGAAATTTCGATATCGATAATCTTAATATATCGTACGATATATCGATAAACGATTATCGATATATCATACGATATATCGATAAATTATTATCGATATATTCGATAATCGAAATATATCGATATACCCCGGCCATTGGGTATTTACTATTTGTGTTAAAAATAGCACAGGAGAACAGAAAAATAAATAATTAATAGAGATAACGCGATATCGAAAAAAAATTTTGATATCGATATATCGGAATATCGATATATCGATATATCGACATCAAAAATTTTTGATCAAACGATATCGATATTCAAAATTATATCGTTGAAGAAGCCTAATATTAAATATATAATTATGAAATTATTATTGAAAATATTTAATAGCTACCCAAAATACTAAAGAGAAAATTTGTAGTGGTGGCCAAGACAGGTCAGATATATATTATGTAAGTTCCAATCCCTTTAATACTGAATTTTAGTACCCTTATTTAAATAAAAACACACTTTTCTAAAAAAACAAAAAATAATGAAAAATTTAAAAGTGTGTGGTATAATATGTCAAGTTTAAGAGCGCCACACACTTTTAAATTTTTCATTATTTTTTGTTTTTTTAGAAAAGTGTGTTTTTAAAAAAAAATTTTTTAATTTTTTATTTCTACTTTTTAAGTTAAAAAAAATTTTTTTACGGATTATTGTATTGTCATCCAAGACCAAGTCTATACAATTTTCAGAATTTTTCAATCTTCAAAAAGTGCCTCAATCGAGCGCGCAAGATTTGAGCACAGACAGACGTGTAACCAAACTTAGAAAAGTGTTAAAAATTAGCCATCCTTAAAGTATATTACATTATAGTATAAACAATAAATTGCTCTAGTTAGGTAGTTGAAAAATTACGGACATAGTCATGTTATATACGGTTATTTTCTTTACTTCTGTATGGATATGAGAATAATGAATTATTACTATGTATAAAACGATACTATAGGTTAATAAGAGGTTGCTTGATATTTATGTATTTATCTTCAACAAATAAATAGTACTAAATTCAGTGCGAGTATTGATGGTAAGGTAATTTAGGCACTACCACAACTAAAATGTTGTAATTAAGAGTTTATGTTAAATACTTATAATTAATATAAAATATTTTGTTTTTCACAATATTTGTAGATCACTAATTAATTTTATAAAACAAATTTTATGATATTATTTTTGGATTTTTCTGCATGAAGATTAAAATTTTATTTTGAAAAAATGTAAGTATAGACTAACCATGTTGTCAAGTTCTGAATATGAGATGACTTATGAACAGATAAGTAGGTACACATACACACTTAATAGTTAATACTAACTATCTTCTGAATAAAGCATGCTAGAAACTATCATTCAAGTTATGATAATTTTGTATGAACTGATAGGGACTAGACGCAATTGTCGATTGTATGTTATGTAAATGTATTGTTGTTAATAAACAACATGGATTTACTAATTGCATAAATAGTTTTAATTAAACGAGAGGAAAGCTAGTAATAATGTACAACAGAACAATTGTATTAAAAGCATAAAAATGTAAAGCATGTTTCTCCGTTATACTCATTATCACAAATTTAAATGTACTATTGTTATTGCAATTATTCAATTTTTGGCATTATGATATACATAAAATTGTACAGGTATATCTATAGATAGGAAATAATCTAGTAGTTTTACCAACAGGAAGACATTAATTTACCACCTCAGTCAAAATTACCACAACCACACTAAATAATTAAAAGTAAATTAATTTTCTAAATTATCTTTACCAATAATAATAAATACCTAATTATTATTCAAGTAAAATAAATATATAATAATTTAATTTATTGTATTTTTAACATTTTAAAATTATAATTTTAATAAACAATAGGTACTCAATAATACTAAAATTAATAATAACACTTCAATTGAGAATTCAGAATTATAATTTAAACAAGTTACATGCTAAATTGTATTCTATCATTATCCTATACATTTTTGATTTAATTATTAAAATTATATTATATTATTTTTAGTAAGAATCAGCATTTTAATGTTGATACTTGATAATGATAATGTGATCTTTAAAATTAAATTAATTCAAAATGCATTTACCTGTTTGGTGACGAAGACTGATTAGCATTATTTTGGCGTTTCCCATAAAACCTTTGTTGGAACGAGGATGATGAAAATCTCAAATTACTCTAATAAAGTTATTAAGTTATTAAAATATATAGTAAAAATAAATATAAATATAAATTATGCTCCTGTACATTAAAATTAATATAATTCTTAAGAAAAATACCAACCTTCCATATTTTTGTTTAACACATTCAGAACTGGATCTTTACATGAATTTTGGTGAACTGTGATCAAACAACCTAAAAATTAATTAAAAATTAAAATTAACTTAGGTTTAAAATAACTATAACACATTCATACTTTCACATGATAAAGCTGGTTTATTTTCTAAAGGTTTTGCGCACCAATCACATGACTGTTCAAAGTTACTGTATGGTGGAGACATCCAGGATGAAGAATTTTTCTTTGATTTATCTTTTTTCTTTCTAAAAATAACTTCCTCTTTTCTTCTTTTTGCATTTTGATCTCTGACATCCTACAACACGTTTTTAGAAAAAACAATTTAGCGTAATTATAAATTTATTGTTATATTATTAACTAAAATAAATGAATAAAGGTGCAGTGCAAAAAAATTTTTTTTTTAAAAACTCACTCAGAAAACAAATTGTAGAAGGGTATATTTGTGTTATTAGATGAAGGGGTAATATAACAACGTTTCATTGTACTATCTACATCCAATGTTTCTTCTTCAGTCTCACTGTCTTCTGTACCACTAGGACGACCTCTATGGTGGGTAGGATTTTTGTATTTACTTTAATAAAAATAAAAATAGTAATAACTATACATTTGAAATAAAGCAATATACGTGCAATCTGTGATAAAATAATTCACAATTATTATTATATTATTATTAATTTAAATCATTAGAGTGTTGATGCTTATAAAACTATATATTTTTAAATGTTACACGCTATCCATAAGTATTTCAAACCGATATGTTAAATTTGTTTTAGTATGTACTATGGGTACAGAGTATTTAATACAATTGAATTAAAAAAATTAATAAGATAACTTAGTGAAATGTTTAGTCAATACCTGTACACTTTTATAAATTTTAAGTCTTTACATTTATATTTGTGTGTCTTATCTAAATTGTATATAAGTATAATTAAGAGGACAAGGCACCTGTGTTTTCTATCTTACAAGTGTGTAACATAGCAAATTTTACTCTTAGCAGATCAGTTTAGCACAATTAGTCTAAAAACTAAAGTGAATTGACCTTTTATAAAATGTAAACATAAGGTTATTATTGAGGCAATGTCATAGGCTTTTTATTAGATTTTGATTTTAAAGCGAGTTATGAGTATTTACTATTTTAAGATTTACTAACAATTTACAGTTTTAAAATACTCATAAGTCATAACTCACTTTAAAATTAAAATATAATAAAAAGTCTGTGACATTGTTTAGATAATAATCTTACATTTAAACTTTACAAAAGGTAAATTCACTCTAATTTTTAAACTAACCGAGCTAAATGTGATCTGCTGAACCCACAGTTTGCTATGCTATGTACTTATAAGACGAAGACAACCCTTTTGCAAGTGCCATGTCCTCTTAAAGAAAAACAACTGAACTAAAAATAGTTATACGAACATTTTTTTTTTTTTTTTTTGAAAACGAGCCTTCTTATAATTGGTATTTTTGTAGGAAATATTAGGGCTAAGATATTTAAATTCTTTACATTCATTTTTCCAAAAATAGGGTAAAGAAATTAGTTTAATGAGCATCAAGAATGTTTTCATTCAAGTACAAGCGCAACTTTACTTAAAATTAAATCATGATTGATATTAAGCGGGTTGTATTTTATTTACATAATTGTAAAAATAATTTAATAATTAAAATATAATGATAAGTTTAATATATGAATTGATCAAAAAATATATTACAATACAATGTCTAATTATATGAAAAGCATCTAATGCGGACATAAAGAAGCTTAAACTACAAAATAAAATAAAAATAAAACTGTGAACTAAATAAATAAATAAATATAAATTATTTAAAAAACTTACATTGGAATACTATTGACATCATTATTTGAAACATTCTCTTTGTTTAAAATATCACGTGTACCCATAATTGATGGTGTGGAAACAGATTTTTGTAAAGGAAGTCTGGCTTGTAATAAACAAGTTTCAACAGCTCGTTTGGCGATTATTTTGTTAAAACCATTCTGTTATATGTAGAATGATATAATTAGTATATAACAAAACACATTATTAAATTTTTATTTCATACCTGATAGTCAGTCTCATTAAGTGAATGTGTAGAAGAAGTTCCACTAAACCTGCGACTTATTAGACCAACATTTTTATTCGACTTCTGGCGACGAAATGATGTACTGTCAGTAGTTAATAAATTTGCTGTGCTATTTGTGAATGGATCTTCTGTCTCAGATTCCATACTACTTAAGCTTGCACTAAAATAGATATATTCATAGTAGTGGAAAAATAATTAGATTGTTACTTCATTAATACCTTTTTTGTCGTTTTACAATTTTTAAACTATGCATATGGTTCTTTGTTAAATCATCTAATGCTGCCCAACTTCTTCTCCGAATAATTTCATTTTCTTTGGACTCTGCACAATGTTTAGCCATATTAAACCAGTTGAAAGAGTTTTCTTAAACAAAAATAAAAATATATTAAATTAAAGGACTTTAATAAAATAATAATTTAAAAACATACTGCGTTTAACATATCCAGTTTTGTGTCTTCTAATTGAGTCAAATGTCGAAGATAAATCTGTATGTGTAGGAGAAGAGTTGAGACTGGAAGAATCTAATTCAGACTGACAAAGAGGTTTACTTAATGAAGGGCATGAAGAACTTAATGAGTTGTTTATTCCACAAAATTGTATCATCTATAACATTAAAAAAGATAATATTACTATACTAATACATTTGAATGTGAAAATCAGAATATTTTAATTTGAATTACATGTGTCAATCCTAACGTGGCAGAATCACGCATTTGCTGTATGACCTCGTGTATTTCATGTAGTTGTTGTATATTTTCCTCTGTAAAAATCCATAAATTTGAATAAAATAAGTTTAATTTTGAATGATCGTATAATTTAAAAATAATAACCAAGGACTGGATAATTTTTTCCAGCAGCTAAATGAGGCGTTACGCTGATTGTAGGAACTAGAGTAGTGCTTGGCATTGTTCTCAACACAAAATCAGTTGAATCAATACTATTTATATCATTTGTTGCTGTATTCATCTGGGAATAATCTGTTACTGTGTCTTCTTCACTATCGTCCAGTTCATCTCTTTCAAAATGTTCCATTTCATGTCTTTGTAATAACTTTATTCTATAAACAAATTAATATATTACTATCAGTATAACAATAAGTTTAAGTGTAAAAAGAGAGCAATTTTAAAATAAAATAAACACATTATAAAAATTTTAATAATCAAAAAATAGTCATAATATTGCATAAACACATGAAATAAATATTCAAATACTAATTCACAGATCAACTTGCTCATTTTACAACTAATTTAGATATACCTATCTAATTTTATCTGAGTTATTACCTACTTAAATTAAATTTTACCAAATATTAATGATGTAAACACGAAAACAAATTGTAGTTATGACTATCTGTGACAGTTCTTACTACATCCTTCATTATTTATGGTTATGAAATAAGTAAATATTAAATATAATTTCACAATTATTATTTATTTTTTAATATAGGCATACTCTTTTTCTTTTTACTATACCATTAATAATATTATTACATATCATTTTCTGTAATCATATTCTGTAACATATTATCAGCTCTGTAAAATCCATGCTATTAATTAAATAATGTTATTTTCTGAATCAATTTTTACGCAATGAGTTTTAAATAAATTAACTAAAGAACTTTGAACAATATTAATAACCTGATAGAAAAAAATACCCAACAATTTTCATAATAAATAAATTCATTAATTATTAAACTAACTAACTAACATAATTTTATCTACATATTGTATCATAGTTAATTTCACAACAATGTTTCATAAGTTAAATTTTTTTTAAATAAACCAACATAATTTATCAATATACCTATGCCTAGAAATATCACTCGCAGATCTTATACCTAGTAGTTTTTGAAGAAAATAAAGTAACCAAAATTATGAAAACATACAATTACAATATCATAAGTATAAAGACATATTTTATAGCCAAAAATGTATTTTAGTTTAAAAGTATGGATTAAAATTGAAGTTATGGCCAAAAGTCTAAATTGTTATTATTATTGGTTGAACAATAACTGTTCAAACTGTTAAATAATATTTTAAATATATTTATAGTCAAATTTATAGGTAAATGTAAACCTGTTTGACCATATTAGATTTATGAGAGCAATTTCATATTGATATTTTTGTAATAACTGCAGTAGAAAAGTAAAAATAAATTAAGTTATTACTTATTTAGATATCATATATTCAATTAACTATTGAGTAGACTAATAAAAATGAAGCACAAAATAAGAATAAATTTAAAAGATACATATATTTAATTGTATAAAATGATTGTTTTTTTTTTTATTATTTGCGTGTAGAGAATTTGTCTCAATAAAGTATACGATAAACAACATACTATATGTAAGCTAATAATGACAACTTATAAAATCTCTTATCATCCATAATTTAAGGGAAAATCCAACAAATTTTTGTTTGAATATTATTCAATACTCTCCAAATTCATACTATTTAAAATTGTACATATTATACCTTATAATAATAACTTAATTGTAATTAGAACTTAATCATCTATCAAATGGATGTCACTAGATAAATGTATGCTTTGATAAGAAAATCAAGTTTTAAAATTATTTTATGTTTTCTAATAGGTACTTACTTTTTAAAAGCTAAGTAAGTACCTATTAGCATATTTGATAACTTGGGAGCAAGTAAAATCATAATAAACTAGTGTTCTTAAAAATTAATCAATACTGATATCCAAAACATGATTACTACTAACTACTAACTAATTATGGCATTTAGATTACTCCTCACAGTATAAAAAATATATCTGTATTTGAGGTAAATACTAGAAATAAATTTTATTAAATAAACATAAAATAGGTACCTAATACCTACATTTGAATCATATTTTAAGGTAACATGTTAACCCAAAACAATGTTCTATGATCAATATTTAAATTGGTAATTTTTTTTTTTTAGATAATTGCCAATTCTAGGCCAATTCTAGTTTTAACAAGCAACAAATAATATCGAAATCGTTAATATTAAATGAGGATTATTCGTATTTCTTACAGTCCACTAGCGTAATCCACAGGATCTGCTTTTATTATTAATTCCTCAGACGGCAGAACAAGACTCGGAATTTAGTTCAAGACCTACATTTACATAATAGGTGTGCTGGTCAACCCCGGAAGGTCTAGGATATTGACTCATCAGTTATACCGACTAATAATGAATAACTCAAAAAACATGCATCAGTCATACAAATTTTACCTGTTTTTCAGCAAATAGGTATCATAATTCTCGTTTAGCGGATAGCATTTAAAACCAAAACAAAAACAATATTACGTTTTATATACTCAAACTCAATAATCGTGATGACAGACTGCCATTTTGATACTTTATGTTCATAACAATGAACATTGGAACGAAATAGATATTAAAAAAAAAATGTAGAATTATTTAACAAACAGACGTCAGCAACGTTTTTAAATTTGATACACTATGATACGTTCAACCAATGACTGTTAAATATTCATATCACTTATATCTCAGAAGATAAGATTTCCGAGATCTATTCTATTCTATAATAAATTAGAAATATAGAATAGATTTAGAGATTTTCTAATTCCGTAGACTATGACAAATGATTATCTTGACATGACTAAATAAATTTGTATTCACTAGCTGCTGTAAGTTTTAATATTAAAGTGAATTACCTATTATCAACTTTTAGGTAAGAATATTATCTATGCTTGAGCATTGCCGATTTTCCAATATTTTATTTTTCAAGAGAGATGAGTATTTTCAATTTCTATATTTGACATAGCATGTCTTGTTTGAGAATTTAAATATTGAAAAATCTCTGACACTTAAACACCAGGTATAATCTTACATAAAGTTTAATTATATGTCCCTCAAACATCAAAACTAACAGCACACTATAGAAACTAGTGTATGAAAATTTGCTATGTCGTATGTGTGACAACAAATGCATAGGTAGTGTCCTCATAGGATCCCAGAGGAGTCATATTCCAATATTGTTCTGACAAGTACACAATATACAGTTTTCAGAGGCTGTAATGTAGTTAAAATTGTCGGAACTTTACGGGGCACCCTTTTTTTTTTAAATTTTTTTGATTTTTATGCTGAATTCAAAACTGTTTGAAAAAATTCCCTGAAACTTACCATTCAAAAGATATGGAAGTTCAAAGTTGCAGTGATTACTCGTGTATCGGCACAAAAATTATTAAACAATTTAAATCTATGTTATGTCGTAGTATAGCGTACAGGCAGTGATTACACGTTTTACGGCACTCGTTGCTGCGCTCCGAAATAGTGAACTTCATTAGGCCATAACTTCAAAACTAAGTCCGTTCGACAAATTCGGACTTCACCATCGTTTTCAGCGTACTTAACTACATAAGTTTCAAAAAAAAATTGCAAAAAAAAGGGTGGCGGTAAAGTAGAAATATACCAAATTGTCAATTTTAACTCGTTTAATGATACTTCAGGTTTTGAGGGCCTCACAGTATGCACTTTCATTTTAGGCCTTAAGTTTGGATTAAATCCTAGATCCCAGACTGAACAATTAAGAGATTAACTACAATCATTATTTATGAAGTACAAAAATTTAAATGGTTTTTGGGTGGTTGAAGGCCATGGAATGACATTTAGAAACATTAAACGATAAAACCTACTCTTAGCCCAGGATAATATTAGTCCGTAATAAGTTGTCTTGTAGGAGAAATTTAAGTTCAAGTATGACTGCATTAACATTTTAGATTCTGAGTGGAACGATGAATGTATTAATTTTACAACGATGTGTGTTTTTTTTTGTATTTATTTATTTTTTTAATTTTAATTTTTTTTTATTTTTGTGTCTGTCATAACCTTTTAGGACAGTAAAAGTGCTTGGATTTTCTTCAACAGTATCTTTTCTGATAGGAAAGTGAATCTAGTTGGTACTTTGGGGGGTCAAAAGTAAAAATTTCTCAGTAGTTTTCAAAAGCGAAGTAAAAAAAAAAAAAGAAAAATGAAAGAAAAACGGGAATTTTTAAGCAAAATCTGTTTTTGAGAAAATCAAATTTGGTTTTTGGTGTTACTCTAAAACTAATGACTGTATAGTGTATATACATGCAATTTTCACTGGTTGTTTATATTTGCATTTTATATACAAGATAAAAATTTCGAAATATGATTTGTTTTGAACTATTTAGGAACATTTTCATTTTCCATTTTTTTTAGTTTTTTTCTGAAAATATCAATAAAATTGTGTTTGTTGGAAAAATATGGAAAAATCACGAAAAGTAGCAAATTATTTTGAGTTAAGTAATCGTAAAAATTTGTCTGTGTATAACATATAAAAACAAACAATAGGTGTTCAATTTAATAAGGGATATATTATTTTAATTTAATTTTTTACAGAAACAATGGAAAGACGTTGCCGACAAATATGTTTGAACAAATGACATGAACACTTATGGTCATAGTAGAACCAAAATCTGTCAATATAATATTATAATGCTTTAAAAGTGTAAAATTGAATATAAATTCCTTGAAAATAGAACAAAGTGATAAGTAACTATAAAGTTTTGATTTTTACTTAACTCAAGAATTTTATATTGTTTTCCCAGTCATATCCTTTAAAAACTTTAATCTAGAAACTAATTTTGCACATTGGATGTGAATCAGAGCACCAAATTTCCAAATTTCATCAAATTTCCTTAAGACCCAGGTACAATAATAGTACTTTCAGTTAATAACTTTGTTGTAAAGGTTTTAGTTAATTCTGGGAGTTATTTTAGTTAAACTGGGACTGACTAGATTTGTCAGTAAGTTTTAGATGTGCTTATTATTGTTTGGAATAAAACATGATGTTACCAATAACTGAATAAAGTTTCTGACTTACTACGGTTACACACCACACAATACATACTATCCATAGAAAATTGAAATTAAAAATGTTTTAATGATTAAATCAAAAGATTTTATACTAATGAAATCAACATTGGTATGTAGATAAAATATTTGTAATTAATTGAATATAGAATAATTATTAATTTCATGATATTTTACTGATTT